ATCCTTTTGGTCATCAAAAACTTCTTCCTCTGATTCAACTGAGACTAACAAATGAAATCAGCAATCCTTTTGGTCATCAAAAACTTCTTCCTCTGATTCAACTGAGACTAACAAATGAAATCAGCAATCCTTTTGGTCATCAAAAACTTCTTCCTCTGATTCAACTGAGACTAACAAATGAAATCAGCAATCCTTTTGGTCATCAAAAACTTCTTCCTCTGATTCAACTGAGACTAACAAATGAAATCAGCAATCCTTTTGGTCATCAAAAACTTCTTCCTCTGATTCAACTGAGACTAACAAATGAAATCAGCAATCCTTTTGGTCATCAAAAACTTCTTCCTCTGATTCAACTGAGACTAACAAATGAAATCAGCAATCCTTTTGGTCATCAAAAACTTCTTCCTCTGATTCAACTGAGACTAACAAATGAAATCAGCAATCCTTTTGGTCATCAAAAACTTCTTCCTCTGATTCAACTGAGACTAACAAATGAAATCAGCAATCCTTTTGGTCATCAAAAACTTCTTCCTCTGATTCAACTGAGACTAACAAATGAAATCAGCAATCCTTTTGGTCATCAAAAACTTCTTCCTCTGATTCAACTGAGACTAACAAATGAAATCAGCAATCCTTTTGGTCATCAAAAACTTCTTCCTCTGATTCAACTGAGACTAACAAATGAAATCAGCAATCCTTTTGGTCATCAAAAACTTCTTCCTCTGATTCAACTGAGACTAACAAATGAAATCAGCAATCCTTTTGGTCATCAAAAACTTCTTCCTCTGATTCAACTGAGACTAACAAATGAAATCAGCAATCCTTTTGGTCATCAAAAACTTCTTCCTCTGATTCAACTGAGACTAACAAATGAAATCAGCAATCCTTTTGGTCATCAAAAACTTCTTCCTCTGATTCAACTGAGACTTGGTTCGGCCTTTAGCTTAAGACATCCCCATATTCAACAACTTGAAAACATGATTTTAATTCTTCTTTAAAAATAATTTATTTATTGAATTACAAAGCGATACTTACGAACTTGTCAAATATCACTGTGGCCTTATCCATTAAGCAATACTAAGTTTTCAACACCTTGCTCACTAATACACTAATATAAGTGTTCCATCTCGAGTTTTTAATATTTCATATGTGAAATGATGATTACATTAGAAGTACTTGGTTATTTCTTATAAAAAAAATTGAACTACATGGTATTTTTACCGTCTTTCATAAAATGACAAGCAAACAATTTAAAATTTCAATTAGAAGGTTAGGTATGATGATGCTAGAACTATTTTAATCAAACTCACTTATTTCAGCATAAAAAAAAGAGATTATCTATGAATTTTCTTTTGTTGATACACCCCAACAAAATAAAGTGGTAAAACATAAAATAGACATTTACTTGACGTAACTCGGGCACTATGATCTCAAAACAATGTCCTTGGGTATATATCGTGAGAAGTCATTCTAACAGTTACAAGATAAATAGGATTTATGTAGAGTATTGAAGTATCAAAGTCCTTTGGTTATGCTTTCAGAGAAAACACCATCCAAAACTTTTGTTAGTGTTTCATTGTATTAATGAAGGCAAATTTGATTAGAGGGCATTGAAATGTCTGTTCGCGTGATGCTCAACTGCCAAATATGTGGTATAGATTTCCAAATGATTATTTTAAATGAAAACAAAATGTACTTACAAGTTCTTATCTTTAAGGTGAGATCACTACCAATACTCCAAAAGAAGATAATGAAATATTTTCTTTTAAGGGCATTCCCTCTTTAAGTCAACCAACTACTAAACTTAAAGAAGATAATGAAATGTTTGTGCTTGGCTTGTTTGCTTAGCGAACGAATCGAACACGAGTTATTCGTGAACAAAGAGTTTTGACCACCCTAATCACAAGGAGACACTCTTCTTCAGCTTTATGACAATAAGCTTCACCCGTATATTAATCGGTACCTTCATATACTCAAAAATCCTCTCAATAGTCTGGAAACACTCAATGAAGTCATTCAGATTCATCATCCTTTCAAAATTCGATAAGCCAACCTTCATCCCCATGTCTTCATGCCCTCCAAAAGTCACTCAATCCCTCAGTCTCCTCTAATACTGAATCCCAAAACACCATGGCCTATCATCCTCTTCAATGGAGTCATACCTATGAAAGGGATTCAGATTTTCCTTCCTCTCTCCTCTACAAATCTCAGTATCATTATTGATGATGATCTCTCCATGGGTCCCCTTCCTAAATTTTAGCAAAATTTTACTGAATTAGAAAATTTTCCTGCTTCATCTCCAATGGTAAATTCTTGGTCGGCATTCAATACTTGTGTCCATGGTGACATAGCTAGGGTTTAGGTTTGGGAGGTGAAAGATGATGTATGGAGCTGATTTATGGTGCATAAAAATAGGGTTGTTGATTTTGAAAATCAACAAGGAGGAAGGGTTCTAGGTTAGGTATTGGTGAATATGATAACCCTGGGTTAGGCTAGCTCCGTTACCAGATGATACCAAAATTTAATGAACGATTGAGCGAAAATAAATATTATTACCGGATTCAAAGTCTGAAATTACAAAAAAAAACAGAGAAATCTGAAATTGCAACAAAACGACAACACAACACTAAAACCAAGATTGGTTCTAGGGTGTAAGTGATGCCTAGGGGGTTGTTTAACAGCAGACGATAGGGTTCGACAAGGTGACAGCAAATTGGAACAGTAGGTATGTCGTTTCCAAGTGAAGAACTAGCAGGATGATGGAGAATGGCAGGAAACTGCAAGTTTTGGATTTGGATGGCGGCAGAGTCTAGGGGTGTAAGTGATGCCTAGGGGGTTGTTTAACAGCAGACGATAGGGTTCGACAAGGTGACAGCAAATTGGAACAGTAGGTATGTCGTTTCCAAGTGAAGAACTAGCAGGATGATGGAGAATGGCAGGAAACTGCAAGTTTTGGAGTTGGATGGCGGCAGAGTCTAGGGGTGTAAGTGATGCCTAGGGGGTTGTTTAACAGCAGGCGATAGGGTTCGACGAGGTGACAGCAAATTGGAACAGTATGTATGTCTTTTCCAAGTGAAGAACTAGCAGAATGACGGAGAATGGCAGGAAACTTCAAGTTTTGGAGCTGATGGCAGCAGAGTTGAGGGGATAACAAAAGCTTTGCTATTTTTCTAAGTGACGGCGGCAAGGAGAAAGCAGCGAGGTGGAGGAAATTGATGCAGTAGAGAGTGGGGGAAGGATAGAAGAGGATGCACACCATCTCAGGAATGAGATACAACTGAAGTACCACACGGAATCCTTGGATACAGCCTTAAAAAGGGAAAAGAGAAACTAGCAGCTCTACAAACTCAAATCAATCAAAAACTAAACACTAAATATCAAAAAACACTTAAATAAACCTACTATAATTAGAAGTGGGCTCCACACCAATTGTGTGTAAACCAAGGCCTAAAGAGGGCCGATCGGCCCTCCCTTGATCCGGAGCGAACCAATCTAGGGTCCTACCCAGCCCCCGCACCACTCTAGTTTCCGTTTTTTGGAAGAATATGCTATAATTTTAATTAAAAAAATGCCATCATGCATAAATTATTAGTGGAGGTTTCCATGGAATCCCCATCTGATTTAATAAAAGTTTAGTTGGTCCAAAGCATGCAAGTTGAAGAAAGTAATATATCGCTTAAAGTAATCTCCTAGAGAATTATATGGGATATTCATAAAAGTCATGCTAGTAACGGGTTGCAACAAGAGTTGAGGGAATCATACTTTCTTTTAAAAGCATTCTATAACAGGAAAACTCAAGTCCTAATCGCCATACAAGAATGACATGATTATATAAAATAACTGGCTTAACTAAAAAAAGCCTCTCAAAAGAAGCCTTTCCTAAGTATGAGATTTTTTTTAAAAAAAGTTGAGGTTTAAGTAGTCCGTGGCTAAATATGTTTAATTCTCAACAGCATGTGTTAGACTTCTTGAGAAAAACAAGCATCCATTGAACCAAATCATAGATTGGATGACAAAAAGGATGATGATGCAACAAAAAGAATGAACTAAAGATTTGTCCGAAAGATTGATTTACTTGTCCAACACAAGGTTGAATATTGTCCCTATTTTCAATATAGTAACTCAATTCATGCATGAATCAAAGGAGAAACACTTTACAAGTTATTTAGAGGGTACATTATAAAGAGGGATCTTTTTCTAAAGGAAAATTTTGATCCAGAAGTTTATACAGATGCAGGCTATATTAGTTCAATCAGGAATAGCAAATTGATAAATGGTCAATGTACCTTCTTTGGAGGTCAACTTGTAACATGAAGAAAGAAGCAAACAAAGGTCATCAGATCAAGTATTGAAGCCAAATTTAAACCAGTGACTCATGATATTTGTGATATTTTATGGATTAGAATAATACTTGATTTCAAAATCAAGTATGATGGATCCCTGAAAGTTTATTGTGACAACAAATCTACAATCAATATTGATAATAGCTCGATACAACATGGCCGGACAAAACACTCAAAGGTAACTGTCTTGATCAACGCCCCTTACATCCTTCCAGCAAACAACTTGCAGAAGTTGAGAGAGCATCTTCCAATTTTTTCAGGGATTAATTACAAGCAGGGAACAAAAAATATTTATTTACTAGTTTGGGGAGTTCAAAAAACTGAAGAAAAAAACTCCGCATGAAGAAAATATAAGATTTTCATGTTGGAATTTGGAAATTTGAGTGTATATATACAGAATAATGTAATTAGTTGTCCTTTCTTAGCCTAGCAAGGTCTAGTAATGTATAAATGAGTGTATGTTCTACTTTCTTTTTAGTAGCTACAAACCTAGAATATTCAGATTTGATGGAATGTGATTGAGATTGAATCCTTCCTTTTATCGCTTCCTACATGCATAAATACATGAGGTGATTATTACTATTCAGGATACAAGAAGTAACAGGAAAAAAAATCATTCATTTCGAACAAGTATAAATATAAATTTCAATGACCTACCAATTCCAATTTTGGCAAACTTGGTAGAAAAAACCTGCCGACAAAAGGCATAAAGGAACAACATCAGTTCCAGAATGAGAACTAGAGAAAATTATAAATTATATATTGCCTAGAGTGAAATTATCTTGTCATGAAAATAAATCAAAGTTTGGATCAACCTTGAAACCAGTATCGCCCGGATTGAAGTAATATTTTTCCTGATATCCTGTCAGAATGAAATTTTCATTTTTTTTTAACAACACATCAGTCACAGAGCCTAACAACAAAATTAAGGAAGATTTGCATACATACCACTCAATTCTTATGTATTTACATATCAAACACCTAAAATTCAATTTTTACATATAAATGCCATCCTAACTATGCTTGAAAAGCTCTATTTCACTTTTTAAAAGTTAATTTAGTGATATTTTTATGTGATATGAAAGATTTCGGAGGTGTAAATGTGAAAATCGAAGTTAAAGTGTTAGATATGTAAATACATAAAAATTGGGTGGTTATGCATGTAAATGTCACAAAATTTAAACATGCCTGGCCCGTCAGGAATATGTGATTTCCTATAAAGTCCAAGGTCTGTTCCATCAGCATCAATTATAGCTACCGAATTATAATGGGCATTATTTGCTTCTTCAAAAAAGCTCACAGGTATGACAACACCTAATTCCTTTGCAAGTTTCTTCATCCTGAACCGACAAAATTGAAGATTAAAACTAGAATGCGGAAGTGCAGGCAAGAGGCACATCATCATCATCATCATCATTATTATTATTAGGGGAATTTAGATACATACCACCCAATTCTTATGAATTCAGATATCTAACACCTATACTTTAACTTTTACATTTATACCACCCAAATCTTTCATATCACATAAAAATACCACCATTTTAACTATTAAAAAATGAAATACATCTCATGTATGGGGAAGGTGATAGCATGTATGTAAAATTAAACTTTAGATGTTAGATATCTAAATACGATATGTAAATGCATAAGAATTGATGAGTGGTATGTATTTAAATATTATTATTATTATTATTTTATATTTTTAAAGTGTAGGTAAGAGGCCAAGCAGGTTGAAATGTCCCGAAATCACTGGGAAACAGTCCATCCATATTAACGGTTTTTAACCGTTACCTTGAAATTGTTGGATGGTTTTCATAAGGCTTAGCGCGCTGAAAGAAATCCTCCCTCTGAGCCTGACAAAAGTAATAGCCTTCAAATAATTCCTGCAGCAGAAATTTTTTAGTATGAGATGTTATGAAAAAGAACATCTGCAATCAAGTGAAAAATCGGATCAAAAAATTGTAAATCAGAAAATAACACACAGATTTACGCGGTTCGGTTAATTTGTTTGCATCCACGGAGCTGCAGAGGATTTTATTACTTCGAGAAATTACACCGTCAAGCACCTCGACGTTTAAAAGAAAACTTCATTTCTTTTTTCTCTCTTTCTTCCTCTATCTCTATTCCTCTCTCTTTTTCTCTCTCTTAGCTCTCCACCGTGAGCTTTTCTTATAAGCTTTGTCGAGCCAAGCTTAAGGAGCGGAGGGATTAAGAAGAGGAGGGGTTAAGATGGCTTGGCTTAGCACTTATGACAGGCCAAAAGATGTTATTTAAAGAAAACGGGATAGAGGTATGTGGAGAGAGGTAGGTGGGAGAGAGGTAGGTGAGATGCGGCAGGTGAGGTAGGTAAGTCACAGGATTCATATATTTAACAATTTTTCCACTTAGAGACTGTGATACTGACTGCACCACATACATGTTGCATCATCTGTTGGTTGTACCGACTTTTTTCCTCAAACATGATATCCTCCACTTTTTTTTCACCTTTGTAACTCATGGCTCCTGTCTTCAACTCGAAGACTAACAGAAGTCGAGCACAACTTCAGTTTCTCAAGAGTAGCACCCTTAGTCGACATATCAGCGTCAACATAGTCTTCTACCTCCAAACTCTTTCCTGGGTTACTCCTGCATCTGCTTACAACTCTCACTGCATGGGCAATATCTTGCGTCAGCTGAAAGCACTTTCCAATAAGTCCAGCCTTCTACCTCTTACTGTCATCAAGTGATGTCTTCACCCGGTACACGCACTTGTTCTGCAATGTCTTCTTCCTTGGTAGAAGTTTTATCAGTTCCCAAGTTTGATTCTGTGACAGGGAATTCATCCCCTCCTTCATAGTCTACTCTCAATTGCTTGAATTTTCATCTTGCAAGATTTATTCATAGTTATGTGGTTCTCAACCATCTATCTGTGCATGATCCAGTTTTCTTGTCTTTGGAGCTCTGCGCTTTTCAGAAAACTGACATTCTTTTGCTTCTCCATAATGCACCTCAGACTCATGTTTTCATGTCTGAGTAAACCTGTAGACATATATATGTAATATATAGTGTGTCAGTTTTCTTACCCCGAGTCAGTACTAATGCTCATTTAGTAACCTTCCAGGTGCTATCTGAGAACACTACTGAATGACCACCCTCATTGAGCTGCCCAACAGAAATGAGGTTTTTCTTGAACTCAAGAATGTCTCTGACCTTTTGCAAAGTCCATTTGCTCTTGTTAGGGAGAGCAATATCAACGTCTCTCATCCCCATCAGATTCAGAGCTGTTCCATCAGCCATATATGCATTCTCAAAGTCACTTGCAACATAATTCCGCATTAAGTCTTTATGGGAAGATGTATGGAAGGAAGCCCCTGAATCCAGTATCCAGTTATCAGCAAAACTGTGAACTGTTAGTAATAGTGCATCTTGTATTCCTTCAGTTACCACATTTTCGCTATCATTCTCATTCTTCTTAAAATTCTTATCAGTTACCACATTTTCGCTATCATTCTCATTCTTCTTAGAATTCTTACAGTTCTTTTTTATGTGGTCAGTCTTGTCACAATTCGAGCAGGTTGTCTGCTGACCAGACTTTGATTTTGATATTCTTCTATTTGAGTTTTTGTCCTGTGATCTTCCTTCGCAATCAACAATCAGTGTCGAAATCGAACCCGAAGTCTCGCTAGAATCTTTTTTGCTCACCTCCTCAGTCAAAATCAAATCATGAATATCATCATATTTCAGTTTGTATTTACTGCAGAACTGCTAACCTGCCATTTCTAACTGTCATTCTCATGGTTTCTCAGCTATTTGACAATGATGCCAACAATATCATGGCACAAATCTCATCATCAAAATCAATTTCAACAGACGACAGACACACTTTCCGCCATCAATAGTATTAAAATCATTCAGGTGTTGAGCAACAGACACACTTTCCGCCATCTTCAAGTGTTGAGGAACAGACACACCTTCCGTCATCTTCAAGTTAAATAACTTTTTCATCAAATGCACATTGTTATTCGTCGATGATTTTTCAAACATACCTGATAAAACTGTCATGAGATCTGCAATAGTTCTCTCATTGATAACTTTGTGAGCAATGAATCTTGACAGGGTTATTCATATAACCCCCAAAACCTGTCGATCCAACAGCCCCCAGAACCTGTCGATCCAACAGATTTCATTCCGCCTCGTCTATCTTTTCCGGCTTCTATCCCAGAAACAAAAAATGAAGTTTCACATAAAGGTAGTATTTCCGCCTCGTCTATCTTTTCCGGCTTCTTTCCCAGAAACAAAAAATGAAGTTTCCCATAGAGGTAGTATTCTATTTGCATCCTCCCGTAACCAAAATCTGTGTCATTAAACTTCTCGATCTCCGATGTCATCACTTCATCTCCGCCCATCATTCTTCCTTAAATCTGAAGTCACGGCTTTGATATCAATTGCTATGAAAAAAACGACGGCATTAAAGTGAAAAACCGGATTGAAAAATTACAAACCAGAAAATAACACAGATTTACGTGGTTCGATTAATTTGCCTACGTTTACAGAGCTGCAGCGGATTTTATTACTTCGAGAAATTACACCGTCAAGCGGCTCGACATTTACAAGAAAAATTCCTTTCTTTTTTCTCTCCCTTCCTCTCTCTCTTCCTCTCTCTCTCTTTTCTTTTCTCTCTTAGCTCTCCACCGTAAGCTTTTCTTGTAAGCTATGTTGAGCCAAGCTTAAGGAGCAGAGGGATTAAGGAGCGGAGGGGTTAAGAGGGCTTGGCTTAACACTTATGACAGGTCAAAAGAAGCTAATTAAAGAAAACGGGAGAGAGGTAGGTGGAGAGAGGTAAGTGAGATGCGGTGGGTGAGGTAAGTAAGTCACGGGCTTCATATATTTAACATGAGATTAGAGACCAAGTGTTGTCCTGTAACTCGCAACACTGTAATTACTGGATTGTTACACCATCTTCATCATTCCCAATTGTTGTGAACAAAAACAATAGGGACATTTACATACATAGCAAACAATTCTTATGTATTTACATATCTCAAACCTAAACTTTCATATTTATACACATAGCACTCATACCTTTAATATCACAACAAAAAAAGCGCTATTACCACCTTTTTAAATGTGAAATCTACATTCTCATGCATGGATTTAAAGCACCAAAGTGTTATGTAAGTATGATAGTTTGGGTGTGAGACATGCAAATGCACAATAATTGTGCGTTAGGTATGTAAATTTCCCAAACCTATAGTGAAGAAGGAGCAGGGACCAGAGTAGAAGTAGAAGTGGAAACCCTGGTAAAATTTTTGTAGTGAAGATAAAAGGGAAGTAGAGAGATGCTTCATAACAATGATAAATTTTCTATGTAAGATAATAACCAAGGAAAAAAAGGAAGATAATTTACTCGTCTAGGATAAAAGAGCACACGAAACCAGCACAATTGAAAAAACGAGTTAGAGGCAAAACATATCTGTTAGAATAGCACAATTGATTAAGAAACGGTTGTTAGAATAGCATCTCCTCAAACCTATCATGGAGTTTTAGTGTAACAACGACCACAACATTTTCTTAGAATGCATAGAAGTAGGACGACAGATGGATAAAATCATTTTTAGCACAGGAACAAAAAGTAGATTGCATATATTTCAAGGCATCATCAAAAATATGAAATTTAGGAGGTGGAAAATTGAACTTCTATTTTTTTTATGAAATTTTTGAATAATTTGAATAATTGAATCAAGCATTATAACAAACAAACCCAAATACTCTAGTGTTGTCCTTAATTAAAAAAACAAAATAGCAAAAGCTTAGATGAGTGGACACCAGACTTGGACCTTTAGATATCAAAATGAATCAAGTCAAATGAGCACTACGAGATGATATTGAAACAAAATAATAGATATGGTGGTTTTCATCATATTCACTTCAAATTCAAATTTAGCAGAGGAAGATGACTGAATTTATGATTATGGTGAGGAAGAGGGTGACCAAGACAATAATTATAATGCTGAGATAAATTAACATACATCAAAAAAATAAGAAGCACCTCCAACTATAATGGTGACCAAGAAATTACTGTTGTTGTGGGACTTGACCAAAGAATTTATAGAACAGGGAGCATATAAGGCATTTTTTTAAAATTAATGAAGACAAGAGATGAGCATATCATTTGTCAAAAACAAAAGAGGGAGATCCATCAATGACAGTGACAGAAGAGAGAAATGCATTTTAAAAAAAGAAATCAATTGTGGATTACTTATAACGTGGGAACAAGTACTGAAATCTAAAATCCAAAACGTATCAAAATAAGTACCTGCGATAGAATAAGAGAAGGATACCATGTAAGAAGCAATGGTAGTCAATTTGAATAATTGAAGCAGAAAATTATATTTTTCTATAAAGAGAGAAGCATTTTAAAATGACCAATAGAATTAGAGATAACAGTGATAACACGTGTTCAGAGAATAACGAAAAAATTTCCAATAACTATCATAGTGACTAGTCTTCTAATAGAGTTGGAAAAGTGAAAAAGAATTTTATCCACAAATGCATCTAGCACAAAACTATAAAACTACGATTACCCTAACTGCCTCGTGTTAAAGACATAAAGAGTTTTTTTATGATCAATAGAATAGTAAGAACAGTGACTTGGAGAATGCAAGAGCCATGGCAACAGCGGGAACAATAGATTCAATCATTAACTGAGCTTGAATTGACTGGAGATAGAAGGAGACCAAGGAAGAAAAATAAGAACTTCGATTAATCTTTCCAAGGTAATACAACAATCGTGATAAAATGTATTGCCCTATTGTAATGAGATGTAAGAATGAAGAGTTCACAGAAAATAGATGTTCTCGTATCGAAAGTGCGTGAAACACATAATATCTTACAATCTTTTGACAATCTCCTGAGACATGATGGGGAAAGCAATTTGAGATTATTGAGCACACGAGTGAGAAGCACGGAGTCCAACCACATTGCATATTTGATGGTAATATGTTGGTTCAAAAAACAATGAATTAAAACGATGAAATTTCTCATGAAATCCAGCAGAAAAAGAGAAAATTTGTGGGATCACAATACAATACCATTGAGTTTGATAATGGTATTAATATCAAAGGAGGGTTTTGTTTGGAGAGAAAAGTAGAGAAAGCCAATGATGAATGCCGCAAAAAAAATATGAGGGCAATTATGAGTTTATTAAACATAGATTGAAATGCTATGCTCGAATAAATTTTCAAAGAAGTAATCACCGTATGAGTATGTTTAGAGTGGTTACATCTACAAGATCATGTGAACAAGAAGACCAGAAGTAAGAGGAAGTTTTGCAGGGGCACAAGGCTCAACTAAATGCAAGGCCGCGGAAATCAGACGACAGAGGACAAACAAATGGAATATGCATTGTCATATGCACACAAGTGAGTGGAACAAGTGCAGTGTAACAATTGCTTGTGGAATGCAAGTGAAATATGTGAGGCAATGGGTAGACACAGCACATAGGAACTGCGGGCAAACGCAACACACAAGAAAAATAGTGAGACATGGGCATAATAGGTGCAGCACAACTAATCTGCAACTTAGAAGCATAGCAATTAAGCATAGCTCCTATAGCACAAGAAAATAAAAGGAGAGAGAAAAAGATGGGGGGGATGGGGGATTGGATCAATCGCCTGGCCTTAATAGAGCTTTGATGAGCTCTGCTGACCTGTTGAAGTAACTGGAAACTACTAGATAGCATACATCCTAAGAAAAAAACACAAGATAAAATAAAAAGGAATAACTAGAAAAATATCTTAAATTAACAGTATATATTACAAAATATTAAATAATAAATAACTTCACAACAGATAAATCTCTATGATAACTTGAACAAATTAAAACAAACAATAACTTACATTTCATCCTTAATATATCACACATTGGTTCCAGCATGGTTTGTTTCTAACATGCCAAAGGGAGGATGAATTCAATAAATATTATAGAAAGTGGCCATGACAAAAATCTTTGAACATATGTTGTCACTAATTAACCAAAAAATACACATCATCCGATCTAAAAAATGGGCTTTTAATAGTTCAAGTGCTGAGAAGATCTCTACTAAAAATTTGAAGGAATAACAAGAATAACTTTCTACAAATCATACCTGAATGAGAACAATTTTTGCACCCTTCTTGTGAGCATCCCTGACCAACCTGAATGAAAGTTCCAAATTTATCATTACAAATTTAACAAAAGGAAAAATGTCCAAGCTTCAAATGAAAATCACTTTTTAGCACGTACAGGTAATAGAGTATATTCAACCTTATTATGAGATGAGAAACTACTTGCAATATGCTTATAAAGTACAATATTGCAACTGATAATGATATCGAATCCATTGCATTTAACCATTTAATACACATAAATTAAATATCATCTCCAAATATTATGCAAAATTGATTCAACAAACTAGAACATGCTCAATTATAAATGAGTTTCAAATCGAGAGAGAGATAGAGAGAGAGAACTAAAACATGCTCAATGAGATCAAATTCAAATATTATGTGGTCTCCACACAGGTATGAGGAGTGCAACAACATGCTGATACTATAAAACATGATGAGTTTCAGATTGGTAATGGATAAGAATAACTAACTCATGCTTGTCATCTCTCGGTTTGTATTCATCCAATTAAAACATACCACAGTTGCGCAATGCAAGTCAGATCCTCAGTCCACAAGGAAGTATAACAAAATGCTTTTCATTCCTCAATTATCAATCATGGAAAAGAAAATAACCTTTAGTTTATTGTGGAAACTATAAAAATGTGGCTTTAATGCAATGTTTAGGCAGCATAATGGCAAAAGAAGATAATTATTTGTGTTGGAGCTTCCTATATAATCAAAATCAATCTCATGCCTTTTCTTTTCCGAGTTAATGTTTATCTTAGTGGAAACATTATTGCAAATGTATATTATAATTCATTCATCAAGGAAATCTAATAAAATGTTTTTAGTTATAGAACAAAACCTTCACTTACTAGTGATAACTGAAACAAAAAGCTTGGGTGGCAAAGAAGTCTCTAGATCATACTTAGACAAACGGCATCGTGATGTGTTATCACAATATATGATGTAGATTGCAGAGCAAAATAAGAGTGTTTTTCCAGCATAGCTTACAGGAACCAATTAAAACATGTTTATACCAAAGGTTTGTTGTTATCTAATACTAAAATATAGATTTTGGTCATCTTCACGTATCATTAGCCAAAAAAATTGCAAAATAATTATGTCTGGGTTATTATGAAGACTTTCCTATGAAGCTTAAGGAAAATAAATATCCTGCATTATGAAGGGTTGATGTGGATCGTTCTAAAACGGTTTGCATAAGAAAATCAATTCAATAAATTCACTGAGATTAGTTTAAGGATTTTGATGAAGCAATTTTATTCTATATATACATCTTAATGCATTAATAAAGAATTGGAATGAGATTTGAATAGAAGAGGAAACAACTATGTTGCTAAAGATTCATGAATTTGCCCGAAAGGCACGTGAGAGCAAGTAGAGCGTGTGCTGGTTTTGACCTTTAATGTGAGAGTTTAATTTTATTCCTCTTATCCTATATAGAAACAGGACAAATGGGAATGTATAGGTATCAAATAAACTTTATAGACACTATCAGATAGTAAATATGAACTTGTAGCAATTATTTTTTTTATGATAGTCAAATTCCTAATTGAAAGTTAACTCTTCACATGCTACTCTTAGAATTCTACAAAAAGAATTAAGTTTATTGGCCAACACGTGTATGTTTTACATTCTTCTCTCTGTTTATCTATGTTGACTTCTACTGGGCTCATAAAAACTCCTCATATATTCAAACATTACCTTTCAGTCACATTGTAATTGAAATCAAACCTGTGGGAGGAATATTAAAAATCCCTTGTTGTTGCCTTTCTGATTTGCCCAACGGCAGACTCGTACAAAGTTCCTCCTCCAACTAATTAGGGGTAGACCACTCTTATACTGGCTTTGTATAAATCGTGGATCTTTTCAACTAAATAAGGCCCATATATTTTTCACCGTGACTGCAAAATTTCTTGGACTAAAATGTATGAAACTCTCACATTCTTACTGTGAAAAACGCGTGCAAAAAACAAGTCCCCGTCTTCTCACCTCCGTGGGAAGGTTTTCCGCATGTTGTGACAGCATGGACCTCTTCAACATCATCCTTATGCAGAACATATCACAAATACTGTGACCTAACTTGTCTAGAAATGAGCTACAATCCATACTATTTGACACGAAGGATGATGCACAATGAGATCGGATCAATCACTATAAACCTAACTAGCAAAACAAGAAAAAGGGAGACTACATTCATCTTAAGGGCGTCCAGATAAACAGTTTATTAGGGCATGTAGAGCAAAAAGGAAGTTACGTTTTTCTACAATACCTAAGAGTCTAATCTAGGGATGGAGATTGGCGTGTAAAGCTAATGTGTAGAGTGGATGAACTCGTCTGAAGAGAATTCAATGATTGATGAACTAAATCAGTTCACAAAAGATTTGCAGGCGACCATCAAATAAAAAACAAAATAAAAAATAAAAAATAAAAAGTAAAAATGATACCTTTCAGCTGTATCAACGTTGTCGGAGACGGAGTCGGAGCAAGTAAATTGGAGAGCAGCCACCACCACCTTCCTTTCCGCCTCCATTTCCCCTTTCTTTCCCAGCTTTTCCAAACTCTAATTCGCAATCGATGGAGTTTTGAGTGTACAAATATAGCAATCCTAGCTTTTAAGTGTTCAGTAAGGGGCATTTACAAATATACCTTCCAACTGCTTTAATTTTACATCTCTAACACAACTTTACATTTACAAATTTAAATTTTAAAAAGTGAAATGGACATTCTCATGGATGTGTGGAGTTCGAAGTTTAGGGGTTAGATATGTTAATATATAGGAATTGAGGGACATGTATGAGCATTTCGATCTAAATAAAACAGACTTTATCACAAATCAAATAATATTTATATATTTATATTATATCTATCTAATATCTAAAGTTTTACATTTATAACAGTAAAGAAATCTATTATTGTCTTAGCATTGCAAATTCAATACACTTAGATGAAAGAAAAGAAACAGTAAAAACACTAGAAGTCCTTACTTGGAAAACCAGTAAAGTGAAACAATCATGGGATCTGACCCAATTGAAGAGATCCACAATAAATTTGTTATTATAGTTACAGTCTCTTATCCCATAAACGGGAAAAAGTTACGCAGTCTCTTGAGTTACTACGTTGATATGCAGATGAACTTGTAAGAAGTGGGTGGCGGCGGCGGATGAGTGGCAGTCCGTGAGTGGTAGTCGTCAGTGCCGAAATGACGTCGGACTTCAGCTCCTTCTTTGAGTTTAAGTATTATTCATACTTCAAACTCTCTCTTCCTCTCATGAGAGAGATAAGGCTCTATTTATAGAGTTTCAGTTGAAATTAATAGAGGAATTTGAATCATTTTGATCGATCAGCTCAAAGTGTGTACCTCGATCAAATGACGTTTGATGGGCATTTATGTGCCTTAATGATGTCATAATTGAGTGTTCTTGAGCTCATTATATTGGTCTTGTCGAGGCTCTCAATTCTAACATAAGGTCACTAGATTTGCCATCCATTTGACCCTCCAAATATGTCTGAAAAACTTTCAAATGTGGTTTAATTATTTGATCTGAGCTTGATTCAACTTGAATTTGACCAATTTTGAAATCATTGGGTCTGTTTCATCAAGTCGGTCGGCTTGACTATAAGTTTGTTGAAATTGAAGATGCGGATGAAATTTAATCAAACTATAAACATTTCTTGCTCCAATGGTCGCCCCAAGATCTGAAGAGGTGGGCTTGCTACTCAAAGAAATGGGTATGGGTGTGTCGTGGCAACTTGAATTTGACCAATTTTGAAATCATTGGGTCCATTTCATCAAGTCGGTCGGCTTGACTATAAGTTTGCTGAAGTTGAAGATGTGGATGAAATTTAATCAAACTATAAACATTTATTGCTCCAGTGGTCGCCCCAAGATCTGAAGAGGTGGGCTTGCGACTCAAAGAAATGGGTATGGGTGTGTCGTGGAGACAGTGACCCCAAGAGGTGGGTGTGTCGTGGAGGTGGCGACTCGAAAGAATGGGTATGTCACGGAGATAGTGACTCAAAAAAATGGGTATGCATGAAGGTTCGATGATGGGCTTGCCACGGAGGCAGCGGTCCGAAGATATGGGTACGACGTGGAGGCAATGACCCGGAGAGGTGTATGTATCCTGGAGGCAGCGACCCAAAAAAATTAGTATGTCATGGATATAGTAACTCAAAAGGGTAGACGTGTCATGGAGGTAGGAACCCGAAAGATGGGCGTGTCGTGGTGGTGGCAACCCAGGAATATGAGTGTGCACCAGTTGCACTGATTTCAGGGGAAATCATCTGGCAATCCAATGCAGACCCATAGGAAAGAAGTAGAGTAATTCTCGCTAAATAGAAGTACACACTAGAGGACTTTATACATAAGTCATCCCCGACGCAGAAACATGGGTGCCCAAGATGGGTGTGCAAGAACAATGGCCCAAGCAAGACTCAAACATGCAAGAATATGGACAAGAAAGATGACATGCAAATCGGACAAGAACAATGGCCCAAGCAAGACTCAAACATGCAAGATGACATGCAAAGCGGACGACATGCAAATCGGACATGTGGGAGTGCACTAGTGCAGGTGCAAAACATCAATGACGTGAGACACCGTGATACAAATATGTTACGAAGCAAACATGTGGAGTATCATGCCCATGAGGGGCTCAAATACTCGATATGGGATATGAGGGCACATGCCAACAAGTGTACAAAAAGGGTGTAAGTGGTGAATATGCTAATGTAAACCGTGCAAAACAAACACAATGCAAGTGAAAATTGATTGTTTGACCTGCTGGGTGGACCTAGGTAGTTAATCCGAGGAACGTAGCCAACTAGCTCAGTCGAGCTAAGGTGGCCGACTGGATTAAAGTTATTGGTCGACTAGCTGACCGGTTGGACCAAAGTGAATGGTCAACTAAGTCGGGGTGGCCGGTCGGACCTAAGTGGTGGGTCGACCGGGTAAGGGTGGTCGGTCTCGCCAAAGTTGCCAGTCAACCGGGCCGGGGCGGGCGGGCGGACTTGAGTGGTCGGTCGACCGGGCCGGAGCAATCGATCCACCAAAGAAAAGTTGACCGTGTCGGGGCGGCTTGTCAAACCCAAGTGCAGTGTAAGAAAAAAAACACCATGCAACATACATCATATTGAAACATGCAATGTAATGCAATTATTGTGTGCAATAATAATTCATGTTGGCCCTAACATGCTCACATAAGAACTTATAGTTTAGGTTTTTGATTCGTGGCATAGTCGTTTCCGACTTTGACGAGGAAACTTGGAGAACTCCATTTTCTGATTTCTCATCGAAGAAGACATTCATCGTTCACAGGGCGGATTAGCTATATAGTTTTTTCATTATCTGAACCTCCCACGATCTTGTAGAATGGACTCACTACAAAACAATAATAATTCATGTTGGCCCTAACATGCTCACATAAGAACTTATAGTTTAGGTTTTTGATTCGTGGCATAGTCGTTTCCGACTTTGACGAGGAAACTTGGAGAACTCCATTTTCTGATTTCTCATCGAAGAAGACATTCATCGTTCACAGGGCAGATTAGCTATATAGTTTTTTCATTATCTGAACCTCTCACGATCTTGTAGAATAGACTCACTACAAAGCTTTTCCTATTTCTTAAAATATAACTATTCAAACCCCTCAAAGAAAGGCTGGAAGTCCCAGAGGCATGGAAATTAGGATTCAAACCAATTGGGATTTTGGTTTAAGGCTTGCAACGGGAAGCCAGTCGGCTCGTTGGATTGGTTGGATTTGTCTTGTCAAGACAATCAATTCGATCATAAGCTCACTAGATTTGACATCTACTTGACCTCTTAAATACGCTAAAAAAGTTTTCAAAAGTGGTTTAATAGTTTGATTTGACTCAGACTGGGTCATTTTTTTTATCATTGACTCCGTATTGTTGAGCAGGTCAATTTGACTGTAGGTTTGTTGAAATCATAATTCTAAAATATATTGTAATCAAAGTTTGATATTTCTTACTTAAAAGTGTGTTGAGATCCTTGTCATGTTTTAAGATCTGCGTCAAATGATGAGAATATTTCGACAACCTATCTGTCTTGATTCACTCTACAATAAAACTATATAGCGCATGAGTAAGTTGTCGTATTTGACGTGACATTGATATTTAAAAGGAATTATGACATATTTGATGTGATGTTAATATCTGAATGTTATAAATATAGATACTTGTTTAATTGTTACATTTAGTTGTCGTATTTGACGTGACATTGATATTTAAAAGGGATTATGACATATTTGATGTGATGTTAATATGTGAATGTTATAAATATAGATACTTGTTTAATGGTTACATTTGTAAATACATAAGACTCATGTGACGACTTGTGTAAATGCCAAAAAATCATTATCATTAACTTTAAAAAGAAATATATCTTTTAAAATTTAGATAAATACATTGGAACTAAGCATGATATGATGTGCATGCGAACCTTAAAACAAATTATGCTCATCGTTAAAGAAAGCTCGCCGATCCCCATGAAGCATCTATGGAACGAGCCACCTGGCACTTACACAGAAATTTAAGCCACATGGCAAAGCATGGTGGCCCTTCATTGCCACGTGTCTCAACACCCACACAACTTTTGCTGACTAGCTCCCAGTGTTCGTCACCCGCTATCCGTTTGCGGTCTCTATAGCGTTTTTTTTTTCATCCTCTCTTCCTCTTTAATGTCACTCTCCTCGAGCAGAAATTTCTTCATTCGATCCCAGTTGTACTGTAAAATTCATACAAGAGCTAGGGTTTTTAACACGAATCGAGCGATGGACTTCCAGCCAAGCGCGGGGCAGCAATCAAAGGAGTTCAAAGAGCACGAATCCCTAAACATCGATGAGATTTCCGAGCGCATCATTCCTCATCTTATCAACCTGTAAGCTCTTCTGAGCTTTGCTCAGCAGTCTAATTGGAAGAAATGAATTCAAAGAAAGTGATATTTTGTTGTTTTGTAAGGTATGGATCGCGCGCGACTGCTAAAGACTTTGAAATCTATGCTTCGGAAGCCAGATTTGAGGACCCTCTTACTTGTGCTCATGGGTGAGCGAGATTGTAACTTCTGTTTTTTGGTTATTGCTTTTGTTTTTGAGGTTTTTCGTCTAGGATTTATTTTTGTGAGTTCTATGTCTCATTACAGAGTAAAGCAGATCAAGTCGGCCTTCTATGCTCTTCCCAAGGTTCTTGCCTCTTTCTTCATCTCAGAAAGCGAGATTGTTTTATCTTGAATAATTTACAGAGGCTTATGTTTTTCCTCTCGAAACAGTTCACTTTATCACTACAGGACATTCAAAATTGACAGTTATTAGTTTCGTATAGAACTCTAAAATATGATGAATTCGAGATGAATCTGGTAGTTGGTTTCATTTGTATATGTACAAGACAAGGACCAAATAGTTTTATGGAGATAAACATCTTAGAATTAGATAGATCCGAATCTACATAATTTTCGTAATCTTATCTAAATTAAATGGGACTAATTGACCAATTGTATCAATTATCATATGAGGAGGGTTAATTAATCATATGATATTTCTAAACTAATGTATGTTCACCTATTTAGCATGTGACTGATTAACAAACCCTCTTTTCTGCATGCCATGCCGAAACTTCGTTCCTTTATTCACAATGAAGGAACACATAAGGTTGGATATACAAGGATTACTGATAGGTTTTGATATGCCACCAACAATTTTCATTATTGAACACGAATCTCGAAGTATAGCACGGATCTCGAGACAATATATTGAGCAAGGATGTTCAAACTTTGATAAAAAACATAAAAAACTTATCCAGAACTCTGATTTCAACAAACTTATAGTCAAACTGATCGGCTCTATGAGACAACCTAATGATTTCAAAGTCAATTAAATTCAAGTCAAATCAAGCCCAAATCAAGTCATTAAATCATTATTGAAAGATTTTCAGACATACTTGGAAGAACAAAAGGTTGTCGAATCTAACAAGTTTATAGTCGAATTGAGCGCCAAAACAAGATGAACTAACGAGCCCAAGATCACTCAAATTTGACATCATTAAGGCATCTGAATGTCCATTAAACACTGACTGATTGAAGGAAGCTATCCAAACCGTTCGATCAAAATGATTCTTATGCTTGCATAAGTTGCACCCATAACATTATAAATAGTCCTCCACCACTTACATGATGGGGAGCTAAAACCTAGAGATAAAGCCCGAGGTTTTGAGAAGGAGCTGTAGCTCAACATCACCGCCGACTGCCATCGACTGATGTCGATTACTGTCAAATGTCGTCGACCTTCGTTGACAGCCATTAATCATCATAGACTGCTATCAATCACCGCTAACATCCGCCGACCACCACTGACCATTGTCAACAATTATTGTTTGTCGTCGGCCACAACCAACCAAACACCATCAGACAATGTTATAACTTGAAAAATCTAGCAACCATTTCCTGTCCATGGGACAAGAGCTTGTCACTACGGTCCATGTGCCAATGACCTACGTACAACAATCAATAATGACCCTTACAACTTGTTGTCACCATGAACTGCAGCCAGATTATAGTTATACAACTTTGTAATTTCATCTTCCCAAATTTAGGAGAAGAATGAACTGTGTTCTCATCATTCATAGTTGATTATTTCAACCGGCTAGGTCCCGTGATTTTTCCCCCTTTCAAGGGTTTTCCACATAAAAAGTGGCCCCTGCGGCTTACGTACGTTATTCATTCTTTGGCCAATCAACACTTCTGAAACAACCATTTATAACACTCTCGATGGAGTAATACCCCTACAACAATCAATAATGACCCTTACAACTTGTTGTCATCATGAACTGCAGCCAGATTATAGTTATACAATTATACAACTTTGTAATTTCATCTTCCCAAATTTAGGAGAAGAATGAACTGTGTTCTCATCATTCATAGTTGATTATTTCAACCGGCTAGGTCCCGTGATTTTTCCCCCTTTCAAGGGTTTTCCACATAAAAAGTAGAGGCGCTTCATCTTTCTCACTTCTCTTAGTTTATCTGTGTGTGATGAATTCTCGTGCAACACGGAGATGATAATCCATTACTCTTTTAACCACCGCGAATTTTCTGGCACGCATCATGTTTATATCTTAATTCAACCAAATAATATCTTTCTATAATTTTTCGTATAATATAATCCTTATTTGTGCATTAAAATTAACTCAAAAGAAAAATCATTGCATGAAAAAGTTAAACATTAAAATTTTACACCTATCAAAATTTCTAACAAATATTAGAATTTTTATTGAAAAATAAGAAGAATAAAGCTTTCAAATCCGTAGATGAACAAGACTTTTACAATATTGAAATCAATAGCAATACTTTCATATTAGAACTTCAATCATGATCAATTTAATATAGTTTCTTCTAATGGTTGTAAATACAGCCAACCCATGATACTTTGAAATGATTGCTCTCTTACATAACTTTGAAATAACTAATAGAGAAAAACTTTCATATTAGAACCAACTTAACGACTCAAAACTTAATATATGTTTGTCATGCAAACGATTTGGCAATTCAGAAGTTCCTTGTTCAATACAATCCATGAAGGAGAAAAATATCCATTATATTTTTATGGAACTCTCTCTTGTAACATAAAGATAAGACAGAAACATCTGGAGTCGATAAAAAAGATTTGTAAGACAATCCTAAACAATCCCACCCCATGCTGTGAGAGAAAAGAAAACAAATGGGATATGCAGTTAGCAGCAAGATTTGGAATTTATATCCTTCCCTCCCTCTAGAAAAGTATTTCCATTATTGTTGATTCATAGCATCGCATGATTTAGAACAAATAGTTAATTATCTAATAGATCTTTTATGTTATAAAGCTCAATCAGGAAAAAGGAAAAAATAAAAAAATAGTATCCGTCAAATTTTTTCTATCATGGAACACTACTGGATCAAATGACAAAAATATTATTGAGAAAAAGATTGCTTTTCTGGACGAAATGATGAAAAAAATTGATTAAGAGTAAATTTTCCAATTTCTCAATCACAAGAGTATGAAATGCTCATGAAATGAGGATTACATGCAAGAATTAGTTAGCTAAAAGAGTGATGCAATCCATAGGTTCTAATACACTCTACACGGAGTGGAAGAGAAAATCTACATTTCAATGATAATGTTCCAGTCTTTTTGCATCAAATAATCAAGATGTGCAACAAATTAATCTAAAGAGAGCTTCCATGTCCTGAAGCTTCTAGCAGATCACGGCCATAAAATGATTCATAAAAAATAAAAAAGCTCTATAGCCTGCATCCAACATACACTTTGAAATATAAAAATTTCAGTTGGGTATTATACTACTTCAAAAGACAGCTTCCTTTGAGTTCTGAAATCAATTTATAAAAAACTTAAATCGAGTGAATTGAATAATAATAAGAGATGAACTAGCTCCTTAACTTCACATAAGTATCCAACTTAACAAATTAGCTCAAGCACCAATGGATAAAACTTTTTTGGCAAACCAATCAAATTAACTAGTAGTTTTTGAAAAAAAATTAATTCGGAGAGTAATATATGAATTATTAACTTAAAGAATGAAGTTGTAATCTTTTGAGCTCATCTCACTAACCCAACCAAAACATTGACATGTAGTTTGTAATTTGGATTCATCATATGTTTTTTAATCTTGCTTGCAAAATAATATCATTTTAAACAAGTTTTAACGATTAGAAGCAGATGTGATAAAAGCAATATTTTTATTTACAAGTAATTATCATATACAGAAAACATCCAAATTGTATTTTTCCCTAAAAAATTACAACAAAATTTTAATGCATTTAATGTAATAAGAGAATTCTTCTAGAAAAGATCATCATTCAACTCAAAGCAATTTCAATAAAAAAAACTAAAAAAGAAAAGGATGGTGAGAACAGTTATCCCTTTGTCGATGGTTTATGGCAGAAGTAGAAGGGAGAAAGAGAATGATGGGAGTATCGGTTTGTGTTCTTCGCGATCCCCTCCTCGCCTTCCTTGCTCCCTTTGATCGGGCTGTATTGCGAGGGTTCGTTCACATAGGCGATTGTTTTGGGTGAAACCGGGAAAGCGGAAGTGTTGTAGTCGACTTTTGGACTCCGACGACGTTAGAGTTTAAGTGTGGAGAGAGGCGAGCAAGAATGCCCTTCGATCTTCTTCTCCTTTGCAACAACTACGATGAGATATGAACTAAGGAATCCAGCTGCGATGCTACGATGGGAAGACGACAATGCACACGGTCCTTAAATCTACCTCCGGATTGGATTTAGTAAATCTGAGATTTACGTTATGCCGGTGAAAATATTACATTCAAGCAGACGGATGCATTTAACAAACGATAAAGCATGTTTGGTGGATTTACACTAAATCTGGATGCAAATCCGTCCTAAATTAGTGCAGGGGTGTTTGGTAGCATAGTTTTATACGACTTAAGCATGTGGTTTAAGGGAATTCCCCCAAAAAAAAAAAAAAAAAAAAAAAAAAAAAAAAAAAAGTGTATATTCAGCAATCTGTTAAATCAAAATTTCTTGCATTCAGTCCCTATTTTTTGAGTTCCGTCTCTTTTACTCTGATTGCAGGACGGATTTAAGGGATTTATTCCATCATCGCTCGTGAGCTCCATAGCTCCATATTCCGTCGCATAGGGTTTGATAAATTGGTATTTAATGGATTTGATAAATCCTATTTAACTTAAAACCAAGTTGCAACCAATCATTGCCTAAATTTTAATAAGCTACTTGGTATCGGGAAGTGACTGTTTTCAACTTTTTGGGTTTAAGTTTTGATAAATCCCTAAATGGTTAAACCTTAAATTTGTTTTGAGGGTAGATTTAATAAATTAAGTAAATTTTGAAGAACTGTTTGACAACATGTGAAGACTTCAAAATCTGTTATGTTTTTTAGAACATAGAAATATGATTAAATTTTATTTATTTCATTAGAACGATAAAAGTCAATTAACTTTTTGTCTAATAAAGTATTGAAAATTTAATCAATTTTTAATTTTTAATTAGTAATTATTAACTAATTATTTAATTAAAGTTATTTGCTTGCAAATGTGAATTTGATAAAATTATATTTAATATAAATAAATTTATTAAGTAATTGTTAATATCATGTATTTAATTAGTTTTATTATGATAAAATATAAAATATATATTTTTAAATTCAATAAAATTATCAATAAAAGTTTCATATCTTCATTTTTAATATTCTATGAAAAAATAATTGTACAATTTTCGACAAATGAAAAATTTTCTTCTCTCGGTATTTTGAACTATGAAATGAATGTGTAAGCTATGTGATGTCTTTGTTTCATTTCCTACAAAATAAAATAAAATTACATGAAGTGGTACATTAAACATAGTCTTATAGTCAAATGAGTTATGCAAATTTTATACAAGTTTTTTTGCATATTGTTAGTAATTATCTGTCACATTCCATCAACTTGAGCTTTCTCTTACTCTCAATTCTCCAACGTATTGCATTTCAATTTATGACATATTAAAATAAATATCACGACTTGATGTTACCCTATAAAATTATGTAAGACAACATAAATAATAATAATATCAATCTAAACATCTCATATGTTAACTGTCGCATATGAGTAAAAAATTAGATATCTCATTCCAGATGTCAAATTTTCACTCTACTTAATTACGTGACTGAACATGTGATAATTGTAAAATTTTTGTGTTACTGAGTACCCGCAAGATCTTGTTTTATGATTTTTAGTTAGATCTTGCATGTAATAACGTAAAACGCTAATAGTTTAATGGTATTTGTGTAACCTGAAATAATCAGTAATATCATTATTCTTGCATGCTAAACACATCATTCGCCACCGAACAATGCAATAACCTTATATTGACAATCAATCCCTCACAACTAGAAACAACATAAGTAAATTGATGGTCAATGAGATGATCATCATATTTTGAGATGTATTTTTTTATGCTTCAATACCTATTTTAACATTCTAGATTCATGTACTATCACTTGCTCTAACTGTATTTGCAAATAAATGATAAAATTATGGTTGTGGGGGGGGATGTGAAGAAAAAAGTCAAAGCTAAGTCGAGGGATCAGAAACAAAACTTTGAACAAAAGCATACAAATAAAAAACTTACATAAATTACCAAGAACACAAGATTTAACATGTAAAAATATTAGAATGAGAAAAAAATACGGAACCACACAACACCAAGAAATTCACCACAAAGAAAATGAGAAAAAATATACAAATTGCACCACATTTAAGCCTCACCACTATTTGGCCTCTTCACTCTTTAGAAAACTCAAAATTCAGCCCTTACTCCCGTGGACAAAGACAACACAAAAAGTAAGAATTTCTCAAAAATTGTATGGGCATTGGGGCTCCGCAATGGTGTTGCGACACTCCAACGGGTGTTGATGGTCAACATCAGGGGCGCTACAGTGTCACGCTCTCAAGTTTTTATTCTAAAATTGGCGTTGTCTCAACACTAGGGCACTGCAGTTGGGCATTGTGGGGCTTTCTTATGGGCATTGGAACTTACTCCGGTGGACAAAGACAACACAAAAAGTAAGAATTTCTCAAAAATTGTATGGGCATTGGGGCTCCGCAATGGTGCTGCGACACTCCAACGGGTGTCGATGGTCAACATCAGGGGCGCTATAGTGTCACGCTCTCGAGTTTTTATTCTAAAATTGGAGTTGTCTCAGCACTAGGGCACTGCAGTTGGGCATTGTGGGGCTTTCTTTTGGGCATTGGAGTGTTGTGTTTTAGGGTTCTGAACTTGTATCGGGCACGGTGGTGCTACGTTTTTTTGTGTTGGGCACTGTGTATAGCAAAAAAAAAAAAAATCAGGGGCACTGCCCCCGTGTCCAATATAAGGGTGACATTTCCCATGCCCTAGTCAAACACGCTGTCAAGTTTGATCGATAAAACTGAGGGATTTATGTGACTAATTGATAGACACAATCAAACTCTACATAATAACTATTGTTACAAGCTATTGTTTTTTTATCAACAGTCTTACGTGCACATTTATTGTGTTAAATCAAATCCTTAATAATGAGATTTGTGGAAACAGTCTAAAAAAAAAAAATTTTGTCATAAAAATGCATGCTAGAAATCTTTAAAATTATCTTATCATTTCTGCATTGTTTGAGACGAATGACTCATGAAATGGTAAAGTATCAGATGTATGATATATGGACTAGTTTCTTTCCTATATTTTTGTAGCTAGTGGTCTTAGTTGCAAAAAAACGTGTAGAAATGTAGAATTCAGTGTTTGATTCCAACTCTTAATTATTTGTAACTCACCCACGAATTACGCCTTTATTTCAGTTATTCAGCAAGTCTGAAATTGTAGAATACACTCTAAAAGCAAATTCTACCGCACCAGGAAATGTTGAGGTCAGAAGAGTTCACGACTGCATCCTTCTCAGGCTTTGAGCTTGACTTTTTCCATTGTTTTGTATCAGTTCAATGTTTACATAAACTCACTAAATAATCATAATATTGCATTTTCATTCAGGTTTTAATTGATAACAAACAACACTACAAAATATTTGGAAAAGATGTGGATTTAGCAAGTCTTATCAAGTTGAAGATGGATCAAGGAAAAATTGTCCGCCATGAAGATTGGTTAGTCCTTTACGCATAATGTTGCTTAGTTGTTTATATATCTTATGATATACGATGTAGAATGTTGGCCTTTAACAGAGAAGCATAAAACAAAGTTAAGCATTGCCGAGATGAGAATTCTTAGGTGGATGAGTGGCTTGACACTTAGAGGAAAAAATGCGAAAGGACTATATTCGTGATAGGTATGGTGGATAAAATTATAGAGTCGTCTTAGATGGTTAGATCACATTAAACGTCAACCATCTGATGATCTGATTAGGGGAGTAAATGTTTTAGATTCGACTTATGTTAAGAAAGGTAGAGGTAGACCTAAGAAGACTTGGGCTTATTCTATAAAAAATGATTTTAATTTAGTAGAACTAAATGAAAATATGCCACTTAATATAACACAATGGAGAAAAAGGATTTATGTAGCCTACCCCACGTAGTGGGATTAAGGCTTTGTTGTTGTCGTTGTATATTAAAAATAGAACTAATAACACTCTTTAAAAGTGAAGTTCACATTTTCATGCATAGGTTTAAAATACCAAAGTGATAAATCTGTAAATATGAAACTTTAGGTGTGAGATATACACAAGAATTGTGTTCTACGTATGTGAATTTCCCTTAAAAATATTTATATCCGAACTGTTGGACTTGTGAAGCAATCTTCTTCAATCATTCTAACTTTTTTGCCTTCTAAACTTCGAAAATGCAATTATTACTGCGTTGTAGAATCAGTGTGCGGTAAGCTTTGACATTTACTATGCCACCATTTGCGTTCTTTTTAAATCTCAGTCTTTTGTGCTTCAAGCTCTTCTTGGGGTTTGGTAGTGATAATCTGAATGGGCAATTGCATACATAGCACCCAAAACTTGCTATCTACAAATCTAGCAACCTTTTTCATCTATTTTTCAAATTCTCACTCAAATATCAAAATTCATGATAAAACCCCGGCCCATATTTTCCTTTTTTATCATTTTCTCAATGGTTTGATCGTGGCATGCGTAAATACATCAATTCTGTAGTTCAAAAATATCACCTGGGCAAAAATATCACCTGGGTGCAATGTTTTGGGTGCTATGTATGTAATTATCCCTAATTTGAACTGTTTGTAAAATTAAATCTGATGAAAAGACAATAATAATTTTCTTATAACTGCCATAATCAAGTTGATCTAATTGTGAAAGCTATATATATATATATATGGAAATTTACATACAACATAATTCTTATATATTTACATATCTAACACCAACTTTGATATTTACATGTGCCGCTTACCGTGACTTGTTGACTGAAAGAGTTTGTAAGACCTCTGGGGTCACGGGTTCAATTTCGCCTATGTGCGGAATGAAATTTTTAGTCACATTTGGTGGTCAGGGGACTGATCTAATAGCCTTTGGCCAATCTTTAATTTATATGTATGTATGTATGTATGTATGTATGTATGTATGTATGTATGTATGTATGTATGTATGTATGTATGTATGTATGTATGTATGTATGTATGTATGTATGTATGTATGTATGTATGTGAGAGAGAGAGAGAGAGAGAGAGAGAGAGAGAGTGGGAGAGGGAAATTAAGCACCACACATTTCTTATTTAATACAGAGATGCAGGCATAGTTTTGATATTTACATTTATAAAGCTGGTGTTCTAAAACTATGCCCGCATCTCTGTATTTCACCTCTAAAAGGTTAGTAATAGTATTATTTTTTATGTGATGTTAATGAATTCAATTGTATGCATGTAAATATCAAAGTTTAGGTGTTAGATATGCAAATTATAAAAAAAAATTGTGTGGTATGTATGCATGTATATATGTAGATTTGCTTTGCTGTTGATGCTTTTGTTGAATTGCAGGTGGGATAAGAAGCCACTGAAGAACAGAGAGACTGTGCAGCTGCCGTTAGTTGGCCGTCTTGCCGAAATCAGCAGGAGGGGTATGATGCTTTTAACACACGTTTTAATGGGTTTTGGGAAGGATCCAAAGAATCATACTGAATGATTTGCTGTTTATGGTGAACTTAAAATGGTATGATTTCTATCAGTTCATGTATTATATTGATATTAACTGTTAAACGCTAAATAGTTATTTTCTTGTAAGCTTTCTTGAAATAATTATGTGATGTTTGTTCACAAGTTTTACTTTTTATATTTGTAGTTTTTTTGGAGGCAAATGCATATCTTGGTTTGTTAATGTGAAAAATAAGATAATTAAATAAGCATTTTCTCGGTTATGACAATTGTAGAGGCATGTAATGGTAGGGGCTACAACATTTGAGATCATCATAATGCAATCATGACTAAATGATGATCGTGTGGTCGTGATTGGAATTTGTGACGTATGAGAATATGTTGTAGGTTTTAAACAGGGGCGGATGAGGTTATGTTCAGGGCGTGCAATTGCCCCCTCTTGGAAATTGAGAATGATAGACTATCTGCCGTTGGTTTTGAAGGATGTGAGTGTGTCGAGGTTTTCACATAGAAAGTGAGAGATGATTACGTTATGGTTATAAATGAGCTCGTGTTCGTGTTATAGATAACGAAAGTCTTAAGGAATGTTGTGATGACGCAATCTTGACTAAATGATGATCGTGTGGTCGTGATTGGAATTTGTGACGTATGAGAATATGTTGTAGGTTTTAAACAGGGGCGGATGAGGTTATGTTCAGGGCGTGCAATTGCCCCCTCTTTGGAAATTGAGAATGATAGTTCTGCCGTTGGTTTATAGAAAGTGAAAGAGATGGTTACGTTATGGTTATGAATGAGCTTATATAACTAATCTTGAAGAAGATAACGAAAGTCTTAAGGAATGTTGTGATGAGTGTCTTGAAGATGATGACTTCGTCATGAGCAATTTTACGATGGGTCTTGAACTTTGTAAGAATGATGATGATCACTTGATGATAAGCATCACACATTGGATTTATCTTCACTTAGGGTTCATTTGCCTCAAATGAATGAAATTGAATACTATTTTTAAATAAATCTATTTATATACATACCACACAATTCTTAAGTATTTGCTTATCTAACTCCTTTATTTTCGTGCTTATTTGTGACATAGTGTTTGAAGTGTATAGTTTTCTACCGTGAGGTCACAGGTTCAAATTGTATATTAATTATCCTTATGGCTTCATTTCAACAAAAATAATAGTATATTTTATATGATTATAAAAAAAAGTACGAATATTGAACGGACTGCCTGGTTGAAACGTAAACAGATGATGATGCTCTTGGGTTCCCTCAGCCCACTAGCTAGTTGAGACTATGACTGATGTGTTCATACTTAGCCTCTTTGAATGACTTGTTTATTAGTTTGCATGATAATAAGCACTACTTTTACAATAATTTCTTGACAATTCTAAGATTTGATCTATGTTGATGTTGAATCTTTTTTTGACCCGAGGTTCCGTGTTGTTTGTGGATTAATACAATCTGGTAAAAGCCTACTACGATAAGGAAGATGATGAAAGAGAAAAGTGGGAGATGGATGAAATTTACCCAAAAAAAATTGGAAGTAATCCGTATATAATTAGTACCTAGAGGAGTAAGTTCCTCCTGCATTTGTTTGATTTTTAGGTTTTTGAAGAAAGACGCTCCCTTTTTATTAGAACTAGCAGAAGAAAGGAGCTTCATTCCCCTCTTTTATACATGAAGAACTGACATAATAAAATAATTGATGTTGTATCTTTTTCCCCCTTTAGTGTAATTTGCTGGCTGATTTAGTGTGGATGAGATTGTAGTCGTCATAACCGTCGAGCTTTCAGACATGATCGGTACAAGCACCATCTCTGAGTCCTTAAAAAAAGTTTGGTTCTAAATGCTCGACAACACCCTTAATGAAGATTGTCATATATGGTTGGTACCGTCTCTGGCACCTTAGAAAGACTTTTGTTCTGATTGCCCGACCGTGTTGTTAATAAAGTATTGGTAGATGTCTCCATTAGTCAACCTAGTTTCTTTTGATGATTGACTTTAATGCTATTTCACTTCAACCATCATAACTAATGGACTGAGTTCAACTACTTTGGTAGGTGGCTTAGTTCGACCACTTCGACAGGTGGGCTTAGTTTAGCCACTTTGACAGGTGGATTTAGTTCCTTACAGATCGGCCTACATTCTGGTATTTGTGTATACAGTTGAATTTTGGGAATAAAAAAATCATCAATTTTACAATGCAAACCTTTTGTATGTTTAATTAAACTTGTATTGTCAATATTTTAACACTTTTTATGTTATAAGGTTGATAGATGATCTTATTTCTTACATATACTTTTATTGTTAATGACTAAATCACAACAAAACATATTAAATTATATTAAATTATAGATGACTTGAACAACAGCCATGCAAGGACTGATTTGTAAATATCAACATTTTGAATCGTCTGTATGTAATTATCCCTAATTAGTTTATTATAGAAATAATATGTGTTAGGTACATATCATATCATGCATGATATTCATCTAAAAATATGAAGATTTATTTTTGACTCTCTTGCAATAATAGCAATTACAAAAACTATTAAAAATACATAAGCAAGTGCTCTATATGCTAGTGCCCTTCAAGCTTGTGTTCTTGAATTAAGCAAGTGCTCTATATGCTTCAACTCCTTGAATTGGGTGAATCACCTTTAAGCTCAAGTAAGAGGCCTTGAGAGACAAACCACATATTTGGGTTACAAATGTATACTTGAGTTTCGACAAAATAATAAAGATGAAATATAAATATATGTATATTCTTGCAATAATTACTGTAATATAGATGGAAGGTTGTAAGAGTCATTAATATTTATTACACATGCTCGGGCACACACACATACACATGCAAAGATATATGATTAATGTCTTAATTTTGTACAAAAATTTATCACACAGATAAAAGAAGATTGAAAGGGACACCTAATTTTTCATATAAATATTTCGAAAAGAAAGAAAAAACAAATGCTTTTTCTAGTTAAAATGACGAATTATATAAGATAAAAAATCTCTGCTCTTTCCCTTAAGTGAAGAAGTTGAGATTTTAGAGTTGGGAACATTAAATTAGTCGCCTATGACTATAATAGATGTTACTAAAGAAACAATGGAGGGTGACCAAAGCTGGATGATGGGTTAGGAGTCGATAGTTCTGTAATTGTACAATAAATAGACGATGATCAGGTTGTGACAAATGAGTGCTAAAGGCAAGACAATGACACAATCATTGGATGAACATAACTGGTTGACATGTGTTGATGGTTGTAATTGTCGACTTTGAATGCCATTTAAAGCTCTAGTGTATTTTTGATGTATAAACTCTCTCATCTTTATAGCCAAGATCTTAGCTCTCTTTTATCTAAAGAATGATGAATTATTTATATTTTTTTTAAAGTGGACTTTTGGATAAATCTTAGTCAAAATTTCCAAAACATTTTAATAGATAATTTGTTTTGATTCATTTAATTATTAATTATCTTTTTTTTCATTTAATCATCTTAATGACTTATTGTTTAAGTGATTTTAGGCCTGTTGACTTCTTCTTAGTCAACACGCACTAATGTTATCATTCAAGATTTAAAGATTGTGTCACAAAGCCATCAAATACTTGATTTTCACTCATTTAGACTCGCATTGGATCATTGTTCATTTCATTGAATTAGTTTAATCTAATCCTTCATTTTAATTATGTAGTTGCTAAAATCAAAAAAAAATTATATGATTATTAATCTAATTCCTGAAAATTTTCACTTACATATTCTATCAACATTTGTGTTTTTGATTATATGAATTTCCTAGTAATATATGATGAACTTTCTTTTCAAGTGCATCAATACTTAAAATAGGGGACAATTACATCAAGACAACCCGAGACTTGCTATTTACAAATCAACCTCTGACTCCTTAAAATAGGGGACAATTACATCAAGACAACCCGAAACTTGCTATTTACAAATCAACCTCCGACTCATCCATTTTTCAAATTCTCACTCAAATATCAAACTTCAATGATAAAAAAACTCAAATTCTCAATAGTTTCATACATCTCTTCTTTATTTATAAATATCAATATTTTAAGGGATATGAATGTAATTTTTCCCACACGCAAACTCTTGCATATTTTAATGATGTGCTTCTCTTCCAATATTATTTTTATTTATTGCAAATTAGCAAATTCATTTAAAAAAAATCATATTTTTTTCAAATATAAAAAAATAAATTTTCAATTTCCACCTAAATTTTTCCACAATATTTTCTTTAACTGACTTTTTAAAACAATAAAACTATTTTCAAATGAAACCCCATTTAATACCCACCGCATTACACGATTACCCTGCAAAAAAAAAAAATTACATGATTACCCTGCAAAAATAAAAAATCCCTCCTTTCTATTTATGAAATCCCAAACCCACTCTCCGACGCCGGCGAAACACACACGGCTACATCCGCTTCGTTCTCCGCCTCTCGAACAGGAGACGAAGCCGGAGTATAAAACTCCGGCGACTCGCACGGCGTGCCGAAGAAATCCTCCTCCTCCTCCTTCTCTTCGACCTCCAAACCCTCCCTCTCTTCCTCCTTTATCGTATAAAGCACCCTCGATGGTCCCAATACCACCGCTCCCCACATCGCCGGAGAACATTCATCCTTCGCCTCACCGGCGGCCGGAATATTCCCCCGCCGGCTGCCGGATGAACAGAGCACCGGAGAATCCATGGCCGGCTCAACGCGTGATTGCGTTGTACAGCAGAGAGTGCTGAGCACTGCAACTGTCTTAAAAGTGGCGACTTTGCAGCCGAGTTCAGCATCGCCGGCGAGTGGTGGTTGCTTCTGTCGTCGTCGGCGGCGGATGGAGTATACGAGCGTGACGGCGAGACAGAGGATTGAAGAAAGGGGGAAGACGAGGAGGAGAGTTAAGCCGAGCTTGCTGAAGCTTCTCATTTTCCTCTGAATGAAACGGAAACGAAAGAGTTCGATTGCAGAGTAATTAAAGCAGAGTGAAGTCTGTCTTAAATGAAGGAGGCGGGGTTGGGGAAGAAGATTACCGGATTAAGCGGTAAGAGATGTACTGGGAAATGTGGGAATGTAGGGACGACCGCCTGTAGCCGGTTGCCCTGCCGTTGGGGAGTTATTATAGGTGTGATGAAAACGAAGTTCTTCAAATATTTTCTGATTTTTTTAAATATTTACATAGATACCCCTCAATTTTTATGTATTTACATGTTTAACCTCTAAATTATAATTTTCATATTTTTCATGCTTTTAAAATATATTAGTGATTTTTTTTATGTGATATAGAAGATTTGTGTATATAAATATAAAAAATAATATTTTGATGTTTGATATGTAAATACATAAGTATTGAGTGGTATTTATGTAAATGATACCTTTTTTTTCTCTTTCGATTCAATTTTGACTGATTTTATGGCTCTAGCGTTTAGAATATTATTAGCTTAACTTAATTATTTTTTATTTATATGATTTAATGTAGAGTATATTAATTAATCTATGCATGGTTTGTCTTGTTTACTTGGCTTCTTTCATAAGCCGTGAAGCTTGGTTAATTATTTAAAAATTAGAATTTATCATTTTATATAATTAACATCATTATTTTTTTGAATTATTAAATTCATGTATTTACGCTTCGTACGAATCATCGAGAGAATTTGATAAAAATAAAAGATACAATTTGGGATTTTGTTGTGGATTTTAATATTTGGTGCTGTGAGTTTTGAAAGCGTATCTAGACTCGTTTGGGTAAATCGAGTTTTGAAAATTTTTCAAAAAATTGCATTTTCAAACTGTTGAAATCATTAAATGCAATGTTTTCACACCGTTCCTGGCTAGCTGCGATGACAGTTTTCTTGCTGCCTCCTGACTTTTCCCAAAAAAAAAAAAAGTAATAATTACCATAGCTTTTTGAAGAATTGATTATTTTTGAGTAGCTTATTAATAAGCTGCAGGTGCCCGAAAAGACTCGAAGTGTAATTTTTTCAACATGTATACGAGACATCTGTATTAAGTTATTTCTCTAAGGCGCAATTTAATTTGATTCATGCACTCATGTCCATTGTGGTGAGAGCTAAGAGAAATATGAGAAAATAATAGTAGGAGTAGAAAATAATGTTCAGATGTGTCCAGGAGTCTGTATTGTTGCTTGCCCTAAAAGATGAAATAAAGATATGTTTAGTGTTCTAAGATTTTTTCAGGAGGAAGTACAAGGGATGAATGTTATCATGTGGGAATATGCATTTCTAATAGCATTCATGAGAGTTTTCAAATGATGAACCTAGTAAAGCTTTGATAATTATTGATTGAGCATTATCTTGCCATGCGACATGTAAGTATAAAATGTCTTCTTGATGAGTGCTAGAAGATTCACGTTATTAGAGTAATGGATTTTCGTCTTAGCATTGCAGCATAATTCAACACGCACTCAGATAAAAGAAATAACCAGTAGATACACAAGAAATTTTTACGTGAAAATTTTGAAAAAGAAAAAAAAACAACTGTCTTATTTGAGTGAAGATATCGATTATAAACTGAGATTATAAGTACAGTTTCTTGTCTCACAGGTGGAAAGAGTTTTACACAATCTTCTGAGCTACAAAGTTGGTGCGCGATGAACTTGTCGTAAGAAGTGAGCGGATTCTGATGCTGATCGGAGATGACCGACGAGTAATGATCAATAGCGGTCGGTGAAGCTGGTTGGCGACGATCGGCGTCTGGTGTTCGACTGTGATCGGTGGCTGGTGGTCGACGTCGATCGAAAATTGGTGCCCGACGGCGATCGACAGTGACTGAAGTGATGCTTGACTTCAACCCCTTCTCAAATCTTGAAGCTCCTCCTCAGATCTCAAGCTTTCTTTAGGCTTCACGTTCTCTCCCCCCTTCACGAGAGAGTGGGGCCAACTACAACCATATTAAAATAGAAATTGTTAATGCATATATGATATGAAATCCATACGGTTAATAAAAAATATCTATTGCATTAAGAGTTTTTTCCATAACTGCCTCATTTCCGTAATTATACAAAATATTCTCTTACAAATAAAATACAAAAATATGAATAAGGGGTCCTCTTTTCACGACCCTCTATGGAATTTATAAACTTGTATTACTCTCTCTTCTTATTCGTCCGACACTAACTCTCGATACGTATTCACAAAAAA